CTTTTAAGGATTTTTATCAAATGTAAAGAGTTGTCTGTTTTAAAAGGCAGTACAGCATGATGGGAAAAGCCTGGACACACTGGGTTGAAATTCTCGGTTGAAGTTCCAGTCGGCTCATCTGCCTTCAGCAAACACCTTCACATTGATGATACACACTCAATCCCCTTAACTAAAAGAGGGGGAAGGGAAATACTTACCTCACAGAATTATTAAAAATTAGTGAGATGAAATAGGGTGAATAGGCAGTGATTGGCACATAGTTGGCATTCAAAATTGTTAGGTAACTTATCGATTCCCTTACACTTTCAAGGAAAATTTACTTAGGTTTAGAATCTTTGTAGGGGCGCCTGGGTGGCTCAGTTGATTAAGCAGACATCTGCCTTTAGCTCAGGTCATGATGCCAGAGTCGTGGGATCCAGCATTGGGCTCCCTGCTCAGCAGGAGAGTTTGCTTCTCCCTCTCCCTCTGCCCCTACTCCTGCTTATTCTCACTCTCTCTCCCTCAAATAAATAAAATAAAATCTTAAAAAAAAAGAATTTTTGTGATCATCATGTATAAGGAAGTTCACTTTTCTCCAACGGGCTCTACCAAATGGTGGCTGGAGCTGTGACTTGAAAAAGTCTTTGGTCTCTCTCTGTCTCTCTGTTTCTCTCTCTTTCAGGCAATCTCCTTTCCTTTCTCCCTTTCTGATCTGTTAGACTCATGCTAACCTAAACTAAGACAGTGCTATTTCAGTCTCTGATATGTTGCCATAAAGAGAGAAGTTTTGAGGTAGGATGTAATCTAAAAAGTGCTACCCTACTGAGCAGATGTCTTTGGTTCCATAATATTTCCTACGTTATAATTCTAAGCATTCCCCTGGCTGTAGTTTTCAGAGCGGAGATTAGCTATATAATAATTTTATTACTTCTATGAATAGATTTCAAATCAATTTTTTAAAGTACAGGCCCAAGAGATCAGTACCAGCTCTCTCTCCAACTTTTTTTTTTCCACTTAAGAGATACCGCATTTGCTCAGCTATTCTCCCCTCCCATCCCTTAGCTCACCAAGTCTGGTTGATTGTTCCAGTGAATTACCTCTCAAATCTTCCCATTCTTCTTAGCCCTGCTACCACTAAGATAATTAAGTCTAGATCAGTGCACCTCAAACTTTAATATGTATTGGAATTACTGAGTGAACTTATTAAAATGCAAACTCTGACTCAATCTTGGTACACCCTAGGATTCTGCATTAATAACAAGCTCCTGGGTGATGTAGATGATGCTCTTGGTCCAGAACCACATTTTGGGTTACTGAGATCTGGATTACAGCAATAGTCTCATTCCTGGGCTCCCTGCCTTCACTTTTGCCTGTATCAATCTTGATGATAAGACCAAAGTAATTTAAATTTAAAATACAAGTCTGATCACATCTATTTTGTACCCCTATTCTCAGCCCTGTCCATCTTAACATTCTTTTCAATGGTCTCCCATAATTGTCAAGATGAAGTCCAAACTCTTTAGCCTGGCTTAAAAGGCTTAAGATTTCGTTCCTCCTTGCTTCTACTGCATTCTTCTTCTCTACTCCTTCATTCCACATATGTTTGATAAGTGCTACTATGACACTCAGTTCCTGGCCACAGTTGAGAGCTTGCAATGCCTTTGGCAGATCTATCTTACTTCTAAAACTTTTCAGGTGCTGCTCCTTCTGCTTTGAATATAATAATCCCTCCCTGTTCCTCTGCTTCCGACTTCCCTGGTTAGAGCCTCTTCATCATTCAGGACCAAACTTGGGATCACCTCTTCTGGAAGACCTCCCCTTCCCCCATTAGATGTTCCTTCTATATGGCAATTTATTTGTAATGTCTGCTTTGCACAGTGCTGGGACAGAGTAGGAGCTCAGAAATGAATTGAATGAATAAATAGCACTTATGACACTGTATTGTAATGGACTGTTTATTTGACTATTTCCCCATAGTAAATTTCTCGAGGGCAGGAACCATTATTTATCTTTTATCTCTAGTGGTTCCAAGGCAACTCAGTAAATATTTGCTGAACACATGAATGAATGAATGCATAAAATAAATTAAAAGGTGACCCCAAATCCCCAAATCATAGATAAAAGCACAGTTATGAATGGATTAAAATGTTATAGCTGAAGAAAATAATAAATGCCAGGACTCAGATATGGGCTGGAGACAAGTAGGAAAGATCAATGTTTAGATTTCTAGGGTTCTGTGAGAAAAAATTAAGAGTGCTATGGGTAAAATTCCTTGATATTCAGGTTTGGTAGAAGTTGGATGCAAGTGTAATTGTATAGAAAAAAAAAAAAACAACCCTCTGGAACAAAACAAAGAGAAGTTCAGTCAAAACCAGTTTTCACAGTTCCCAGATGTTCTGATAACTCTTAAAAATTCTCCAGTTTTTAAGTAGCAACTACCTAGTAGAGTGGCTGAGCAAATCTGTTATCAATTAGGGAGTATTTCAAAGGGAGGACCAAAGAGATAATTTGAGCACATCTTTTATTGAGCCACAATTATACCCACATGTTCACAAGAATAGTCAGAAAAGACAGTGAACATGTATTTTGTACTTTCCTCTCACTCTTGACATACTGTGCCTTGAGAATTTCCATGTGCAGGATTCTACATGTAGAAAAGATTATTTTCTGGCGAATGCATGCCATTAAAACAAAAGAGACCTGTCCCTGCCCTCCCGGTGGTTTAAATTAACAAGAGATGTGGCAAACCAGACAAACAACAAACAAACCCGTAGTGCTGGGATCAGGGTAAGCGCAAGCAGTGGTGGAGCATTGGTGAGGACTCTTCATCAGATGGCGCATCAGGGAATGCTTCCTGAAGTCCTGGCAGCAAAACAAAATAAAACAGCTCTTCAAATTAAAAAAAATCAAATAAAACAAACCAACCAACACACAAAAATCCAAAGGTGGTTTAAAAAAAATATCCTCAAAGTTCTCAAACAAGAGACAGGCTCATTTGAAGTCTGCAGACGATTTCTGGAAGCAGCTTATTTCCAACTCCTCCCTTTTCCCCTCTCCCCTCCCTCCTTACCCTTCTGACATGGTTTTCCTTCTTGTACCCTCACCTTTGTCCTCTCTCCTCCTTCTTCCCTAGTCTAATTCCCACTACTAACATGCGTGGCGGTATGCATGAAGGAGGTTCGATCCCGCTTGGAGCGTGGGGTGGGTGAGGGGCAGATCCAAAAGCAAGAGCTAAAGTTCTAGCTCTGAGTCCCTGGGAACCTGATGGGGACAGGAATTCCAACCTGGTCCTGGCAGCCAGCCAGGTGTGAGTCTTGTCCTCCTCAGCTCTGATTCGGGGCCCCGGGTACTCGAAAGATAAACAGGTCCAGTTTTGACAGAGATCACACTGGGAATAGAAAGAAGGTGGGAAGATCTCGGAGGATCCCAACCCATGAATTACCAAGACCCAGGCACCAAACCACCATCTTGGCCATCTGTGTGAGCAGATTAGAAAAGTCTAGGCCCTCCTGGGTTATCCACTGAGTTTCTATTTTTATACATTTATATTTTTACATATTTTCAGCATTTTAAGTGTGTTAAATCTTTACTTTCAGTGATGAAAAAAATTAGATGAATTCTGAACTTTAAAAATTACATTTTCACCAACTAAAGACCAAAATGGCAATGTCATGTCGTTGTGCTACAGTGTATCTCTAAGAGTAACTTTTGTTTACTGGATGTTGGCAGGTCATTCATCATGATGGAGAGAGTTTATAGGTCCTCTGTTCTCTCTGAACTCAGTTACAGCAGAGTCAAACAAAGGGTTAAGTAAAATGCTTTCTGGGAAAATATAAACATAAATAAGAACTACTATAAGAATTTCCATGTCATAGAATACCAGAAAGAGGGCTATTTTATTTCCAGTTTCTCTTACAAGGGGGGATTTTTAGTGTAAGGACTATTCTTTGGAAAACATTTTTTCTTTTCATGTAGAATTCTTTTTTTTAATATAGAATTCTTATAGAATATGGATAACAGTTCAATCCATGAAATAAGGCTAAAACTCCAAGACAGAGTATTTAGAGTGCGAAGGGGAAGAACTGTCAAAGCTACAACCATGGGGAATGCACTGATGAGGGTTCTAACAAAGAAAAAGTGAACATAGCTGGTAGGAATAATCAGGGAGCTTGGAAAGAACCAGAAATTGTGTAAATCAGGGAGAAGAGATTTTTTTTTCTTTTTTTTTTTTTATTCTTATGTTAATCCCCATACATTACATCATTAGTTTTAGATGAAGTGTTCCATGATTCATTGTTTGTGCATAACACCCA